TTACTACCCACACTTTAGTACGGGAGGTATTGCGTTGGGGTAAAAAATGACCCTCCACTGTTTAGACGGAAATACCCACACGTGTTGTTGAAGCAACAGGAATCCGAATCAAACAAAATTTCGATGATGTCTGTCTGTCGGGTCGGGTCTGTCTGTCTGTTGGTCCGTCTGTACTCGCATATTCTTAGGCATAAAATGGCAGAATCGCGCATGCGCAGGTGGGCGGGTGGTATTTGTGCTAGCCACAGTTAATTTTTTTGAAAACATTCAAATTTTTGGTAAACAGTTTGAAATTTTCCTTTATTTTGTAATTAACGTAGGTATGAAACGTAGGTAGAAACAAATTGCTAACTCTGTACCCAGTGTACAATATATAGGTTGCTATGTTTTGTCTATCAAAAGGAATTAATTTCTACCAACCATAGCTCTTCTCCTTGACCTCTTGATGTGATCGGGTATATTCCCTTATACTTCAAGAACGGATTGTCGGAAGACAGTACTCACAAAGGGCGATTGAGACGTCTGAAAGAAATATATCCATTGGTGATGTCAAAACAAAAGCTGTTTCGGTTAAAAAAATGCGGTTTATCTGCACAAGAGTTTCCCGTACGATATTAGGAATAATAATTCGCCTTTGAATAACTCCCCTTCATTTTGTTACAGCAAAAATGTGACACTTTTATTCTTCAACAAGACAGAAAAGGATATATTACTGAAAGATCAGTTAGAAACCCTTCACAATGAAGATAGTAGGTAAGTATACCCCATGAAAGCTAAATAAAAAATGTGATGGCGATGGGCGCGTTCCGATTGAATTTGTTTTGTGTCTGCAGGTTTCGAGTGGAACACATTCTTTCACAAGCAGACTCAAACTGGACAGGACACAAAGGGAAAATCAGTAATAACCTTCTTCGCGATAGTATTGACAAACATTTATTAAATACTGTGTATAAAGAAAGTGATATTTTTGCATGTATTTGTGGACCAACACAATTTTCGCACTTAGCGCAATCACTGCTCACTAGTACAGGTTTTAATCGTGAACAAATGCACGTGTTTTTAGGATAGCAGGAAACGGTTGTTGCACATATTGTGATTAATTTAGCAATGTTAGAGAAATTCTTGCGCCAATTCTTGCTACGGGTGTTATGATTAGGGATTTTTGGATCAACTAGGGACTTACCAGCGGTGGAATTGGTTTGTGAATCAATCGAACCGCCGCGCCGGACTCGACCCGTGGATTATACTCATTAAAAATGCATCTACAGATAGAGCTTTCGCAGCATCCACATTCAACATTTCGAAATAACCTTTGTCCTCCCTTTTTCTCGACATTTTGCTAAAACATCAGCTCAAATATGGTACAAGTTGGCTGTTCCGGCATTTGTAGGTCGAATTTTTATCATACATTTTCGCATTACCTACTTGCGATGTAAATTAGGCAGAAAAATGTGATTTTACACAATTGCAATAAAATGGACAAGAATCGCTTTTAATCTTTACAGTGCGTTTGATGGTTCTTCTATTGCCATGTACATAACTAGCAGCTGTCGTGTAGATGTACTAAAATTTATGTAAGTAAATGATTTTCACTGCTATTACGTAAAGCACGGTGCATCAGTGTAATCTCGTAGGAGTCTTTAGGAGGTTCTAAAATTGTGATTGTCAATGGAAGCAATTTTTTAAGTATGCATACTTTAATGTGGCACAAGAACCAACTATTGCTTTTATTGTTATAAATATTAATATGTAACATTTTGAAAATCTATCGTATTCTTAATATGAGGAAATGTCTATTTTGTAATAGAACTATCTTGGTCAATAAAGCGAAATGTGGTTTTATAAGTTTTCCATTCTAGTTGTTACTGAAATTCACTCCAATTTATTGAGGACAAATTTCCTTTAATTGGAAATAACTTGGAATGTATGGTGGACATGCAGCCAGGTCTCCAAACAAAGTGATGTGCAGGTGTTGTCTGGTGTAGAAGTGGATGTGGTGAAGATGAATATGTTGGAGCTTGGAGCCACGAGCAATTTTGTGAATTCGTTCAGATGGTTTTAAGACGCAACTGCATTTTCGAAGAGAGGTGGGAAAAGGACACAGAAACAAGGCTTCGATTTCTTCTCACCATCTTTCGGCGTTTTCCGTTAAAGTTGTCTAAGGAAATTTAAAAATCAGATGAATTGATCAGCACTTCACATCAAATTTTCTCAATATAATAGATTTAAAGCAAATTAATTAAGTTAACAGGGTTGAATAAAACTTTTATTTGTTACTCAGTTGTAAACGTTGATTAACAAGACAAAACGCAAACGGGTAAACGTCATGTTTAAACGCTACTGACTTGTAAAACTGACAGCAGACTTGTAAAACTGACAGCAGACTTGTAAAACTGACAGCAGACCTGTAAAAATTTTACAAGTTAGTAATCTAGTAATTTCATTGGCCAGAATTAATGCGAAGTCTATGTTACATGGATGACATGATATTTTAGACATTTCTTCAAGATAAATTTAAGAACTAATTATTTACGTTTACTATTGTTTACAAATGAGTAACAAATAAAATATTGTACATTATACGCCAGGTAATAGTTTTTACTGGCTCTAGGAGATAACAAGCTCGCCTAACGGCTCGCTAGTCAACTTCTCCTATCGCCAGTAAAAACTCACTTACCTGGCTAATAATGTAAAATACTATAAACCTCTCCCATAATTCATTGTTTAATTGTTTTTGACAAGGGGTTTACAAGGAGCTACACCCCTTATCAACTGCTTCGTTTACATTATTAACCATGAAATGCTTAGGTAAATATGAGGGAGATTCATTTAGGGACACGGTCAACTCGCCACCGACCGACTAGCCAATGGGACAACTCGCCAACGCGACAACTCGCCAACGGGACAACTCGCCACCGCGACAACTCGCCAACAGACGACTCGCCACTGCGACAACTCGCCAACGAAATATTTTTCCCTGTTTAATGTGTCATACAAATGCATCCCACAAATGCAATAGTCAATTTCCACAATGTTGTAAAAAAAGTTTATCGAAAAATTGTAGTCAATATTTGAATGAAGACCCAACCGCCTATACCTGCTTCTATTACTGCATTTTGATATAAAATCTTCTGAAAATTTATTATTTAAACAGAAAATTTCACAATCACATCGTTATTTGAACGACACATTTTGAGGCCCTAAAAAAAAATTGTCTCAGATCGACCCGGAAAAAAATATTTTCTTATAGAATGTGGTCTGTAGAATCCATAATTTCAAACAGTTCCAAGATTGGGCTACTAGTTCAAAAGTTACAGCCCTTTGAATTTTCTTTCGAATTGGTTTCTAGTCTATAACTTTTGATTGAGAAGTCTGATCGAAAAAGTACGAATTGTTTTGGATTCTACGCACCAAAATTAATAAGAAAAGTGTTTTCCCGAGAAATTTTGGTGTAGTCGATTTTTGGTAAAAAAGGAAGGTTATACACTGCCTTTTTTTGAGGCCCAAAAAAAAATTGTCTCAGATCGACCCGGAAAAAAATTTTCTTATAGAATGTGGCCTGTAGAATCCATAATTTCAAACAGTTCCATGATTGGGCTACTAGTTCAAAAGTTACAGCCCTTTGAATTTTCTTTCGAAAATGGTTTCTTTTCTAGTCTATAACTTTTGATTGAGAAGTCTGATCGAAAAAGTACGAATTGTTTTGGATTCTACGCACCAAAATTAATAAGAAAAAGTGTTTTCCCGAGAAATTTTGGTGCAGTTGATATTTGGTAAAAAAGGAAGGTCGTACACTGCCTTTTTTTGAGGCCCTCAAAAAAATTATCTCAGATCGACCCGGAAAAAAATTTTTCTTATAGAATGTGGCCTGTAGAATCCATAATTTCAAACAGTTCCAAGATTGGGCTACTAGTTCAAAAGTTACAGGCCTTTGAATTTTCTTTCGAAATTGGTTTCTAGTCTATAACTTTTGATTGAGAAGTCTGATCGAAAAAGTACGAATTGTTTTGGATTCTACGCACCAAAATTAATAAGAAAAAGAGTTTTCCCGAGAAATTTTGGTGCAGTCGATTTTTGGTAAAAAAGGAAGGTTGTACACTGCCTTTTTTTGAGGCCCTAAAAAAAAACTGTCTCAGATCGACCCGGAAAAAATTTTTTCTTATAGAATGTGGCCTGTAGAATCCATAATTTCAAACAGTTCCAAGATCAAAAGTAGAAATTGGTGTTTTAGTCGAAATTCTGACAGCGCCAATCGATAGCGCCGCTCGAGACCTTCTGACAAACCTTAATATCTCGAGAACGGTGCGTCGTAGATATGCCTTCCGACCCCTCGTTGGAAAGGTATCGACCAGCGCTATCGATTGGCGCTGTCAGAATTTCGACCAAAAATTCGAGAAAATTCCCCTAGAAAATAACTAAAATGTGCACATCATGGCGGCGCCCATGATAGGAATCTTTGTTTTCCCTCAAATAAAAAGAAAAATGGAGGGTGATATTTTCCCGCGGTTACTTAGCAAAGAGGAAAAAAAATCGTGAAACAGTTTTAAGGCAATAGTCCATGGTTTCCCGTTCAGTGTTTCCTGGGAAACCATAGAGCTAAAGATTATGACGAGCGGAGGGGTTTTGGTTTTGTATCATCGGGTATAGCATGTCTCTAAAGATGCACAGGTTACATTCTCATTTAGATTAATTTAAGGATAATATGGGAGCTTTTTCGGAATAACAAGGACAACCCTTTCATCAAGACATAATGGAATTTATGTACGTTACCAAGGCCAGTAAGCCTGGAAGCATGATGGAAGATCATATTTGGGGGGTTGATGAGAAAAACTTCAGTTGAACATGACAAAAACTGTAAAACTGTTCCATTTTTAAACATTTAGACTTTAAGACAAACAGAATATAAATGTAGGAACGTTACCTTATAATAAACCATGCGTATGTAAGTAAGATTTTATAGGTAGTTTTATTTTTTGGTTTTTTTCATTTTTTTCGCACAAAAACAAATACATAACCTTTTTTTTGTTCTAATTCTTATTTGTGGCTATACAAGGAACAGAAATAAGGTATAGGTATTATGTCCCATGCGCAAAAATGCTGTAGACCGCCGGTGTTATGAACGCTTTCGTTAGGGGGGGCGGTGAGAGCGTACAATATTTGATGAAAAGTAATTCCGTTCGTCAAAATTCTTTATTAGTGTACCACAAAGAACAAAATGAGACGCTTATTTTCCTATCCATCGTATAAAATAAGACGAGAACAATTCAGCCAAGCACCGTTCAAAACAGACGATAAACTACCGTAAAAGTTGCACTGAAAAAAAGGCAGTCGGGTAGTCAATAATATAAACGAAATCACCAGAATGAGGTGAAATTACGGAAAACTACCAGATAAACACAGTTTTCCTGCCTCAGTCGGCTTTCTGAAAAGCTACCCATATAACTTAGTATAATAAGAACAAACATTGGTCGGGACAATAAAGAGAAACTCTTTTCAAAAGGCAGATTTTCATAAAGCCGTAAACAAAATTTTTGCTCTAAAACTAACTAAATAAAAAAACTGACAAAAAGAAACTTTTTTTAACAATTATTGCTTTCAGATACCTACGTCTTATACAGCACCGAAGTGCTTGCTATAGAACTAAATTTGAAGGTACATGCAACGATTAAAATGTTCCTCTCATTTAATAGCAATTTTTATCCAGAAAAAAGTATTGGCCTTAATGAAAATTGAACTTTTCCTAGTATCTATTAGAGATGTTTATAGATCCATTACTTTACAAATCTCTAAGCTGGTAATAAAATGCCCTTATATGGTACTTTAAAAGTCGGCGTCTTTAAAATAACATTTCGATTGGAAACAAAAAAGGTGATCGAATTTAGATAAAATGCTAAACAACTCCATCAAATACACGCGTATAAAACCGGCAGAATGCCATCTTTAGCGATATCAATCGTACTCAGTGACACTAATAATGTTACGTGCTGGGGAAAGAGAACGTTCTTCAACACATAAAACCGCATTTTTATGGGCTGTATTTACCGATTTACAATTTTTTCACCTTTGCATTTCATTATTTATTTCTCTCTGGCGTGATTCTAAGGGTTTCCGATTACCTTACCATCGAGTTGCTGAATATTTGATGTGACAAGCAAGAGACAAAAATTGTTATCGATTCTACCTCGTGGGTCATACGGACGACGGCTGCATGCAAAATTTTCTAGTGAACGTTATTAGGCACGTAAGATTAACATCACAGAGAATTTGTCACGAACAAAATAGTACCCTCTCCGACAATAGATTGCCTATCCTGGAGTGGAGTGGAAATGTAGTGGTTTTTAGATGAACTCGTGAAGTCTACTTCAAGCTTTTTTCCTTTAGGATTGTTCACCGAGAAAGCAAAAATAGTATATTATTCAGTGAGTATCTAATGGCCGCCATACCTCATCACAATAAAGGCATTCGAAATAATAGAGTAACAACGAAGAATACTATTATACGTATTTGTGCTCAGTTTTAACAGCGTTTGCAGAAGGATTAACGGAATGCGAGACTTAGGTTAAATAAGAATTTATAAGAAAAACTGCGCGTATTTGCCTACAGAGAAGAAGTGGAATTAAATGGAAACACAGTTGGGAAATAATACGCTTCCTCTTGGTTACCAATTTTCCTTTGTTGAAAATCCTGTTTAAGGTAATTAAATGGATTTTTTGTTGAATAATTTTTTTGACAATCTCGTAGAGAGAGGGGTGGCATTTTCTTTATAATAATTTTGTATCAAAGGCAATTTTCGTCATAAATTTCTTGTATAAAAGGATAATTATTTGTGACATTGCATTATACGAGTATTA